TTTTAAGATTTTATTTATTTGAGAGAGAGAGAATGAGAGACAGAGCATGAGAGAAAGGAGGGTCAGAGGGAGAAGCAGACTCCTTGCTGAGCAGGGAGCCCAATGTGGGACTCGATCCCGGGACTCCAGGATCATGACCTGAGCCGAAGGCAGTCGCTTAACCAACTGAGCCACCCAGGCGCCCCTATTCTTTTTTTAAAAAAAGATTTATTTCTTTATTTAGAGAGAGAGAGTGCAGTGGGGAGAGAGAGAGAATCTCAAGTAGACTCCCCACAAAGCGTGGAACCTGACATGGGACTTGATCTCATGACTCTGAGATCACGACCTGAACCGAAACCAAGAGGTGTATGCTTAACCAACTGTGCGTCCCAATAAATTATTTATTCTTAATAAATGCCTAATTCACACTTAATAAAGCCTGGCAGACAGAAAGCACACAAATAGCACCTACTATAACATTAAACCTATGGCCACATGAGTTTGAGTTCTGAAGGAAACACAGTTTACTCTTGGGTTAAAGCACTAAAGTAAGAAGAGACAAGATATTTTTGGCTAAAAGTTGGTCTAATACTTCAGAGACCATGTATTAAAGCAAGGTAGTTAGAAGAATCCTGTTTACAATATAGGTCAGTGGTTCCCAAACACCAGTCACAGGACTGGCTGCATAAGATTTCCTTATAAAGCTTTATCAAAATATAAGTAAATGCCCAGATCCCCCTGGTAGAAGCACTAATTCAGCAGGTCTGGGATAAGGCCAAATCATCTGTATTTTAATCACTTTTTAGGTGATTCTAATGAGTGACCAGGTTTGAGGCCACTGTATATACTACCACCATCTTGTACTTTGAGGTCCAGGGTGTAATTAATTATTCTTTAATACCTTGTTCTTGTCTTACTAGGAAGCTGGACAAAGAACGTGGGCAGGATACCTTAAGAACATCATACAGGGTAGGGCCTTTTGTATGCAACCACTTTCTAAGCATAATTTCCCAACAGATACCCAGATTCTATTCAACTCTGTCAATAGAAGAAAACTTTGCAAAAAGCAACACAAACTCAAAGCATTTTCAAGTGCTTTATGTGATGACTATAACACTGAATATATCAAGAAAGATGGAGATTTTTTTCAAGTTTAAATACTAAGAAGACACCAAATACAGAGGAAAGACAACAGAAGTAAAATTTTCTCTATGTTAATTATTGTCCAACAATCTCACCAGGAGAGTAATAGTTATACTACTATTTATAATAGTAATGGAAGCCAGGTGATGTATAAACAATATTAAATTACTTACTTTGCCATTGTTTCTGCAGACAGGTCCTCAGAATTCTTGACTTTTGTTTCACCTAAAAAGAAAATATTTAAAAAATAAAATTCCCAATGATAGGAATTATAAAAGCAAGAGTACTCTCTTTAAAAAATCTCATTTTGGGGAATGAAATTCAGACTTTGTAATTGTGTATGATGGACTAGGCAAGGATTTTCTATGTTACAGATGCATCTTTATAGTTGGCCACCCTAAGGAGGATATAATTCCAGTAGCCTAGCAAAGATTTGTCCATATTCCTAATACATCACCAGCATCAGAATTTGGTTACATTAAAGGACTTTTTTTAAGCTAAATAACAACACATATATGTGTGTGTATATTTATAAAATATCTTTTATAGAAACTAAGACTTCCCTCAAAGAGCCCAAATGGAACAGGCCAGGTTATTTTGCGGCCACACTGAAATTTGTAATAACACTATTCAAAGGGGGTTGGCAAATATATCACTGAGTCAATGACTAATTAAGAACATCACTCACCATGACCTCGCAGATCTAAAGCCACAATCCTACACTGAACCCTACTAATGATCGCCGCCTAGGAAAATAAGGAAAATCTGGGTTAGTAAGTCTTTCCCCATCACCAATGATAACTTTGTTGAATGGACTGCCATCAGAATTCAAAAATCTCAAAATAATCAAAGAAAGACGTTTCACTTTTTTTCTTGAGTATAGCTGACATACATTGTTACATTAGTTTCAGGTGTATAACACAGTGATTTGACAGGTTTATACACTATGTTATGCTCACCACATACAACACTATTACAGTATCATTGACTACATGTTGTGCCTTTTATTCCTGTGACTTACTCATTCCATAACTGGAAGCCGGTATCTCCCACTCCCCTTCACCCATTTTGCCCATTCCCCCATTCCCATCCCTCTGGCAACCATCAGTTTGTTCTTTTATTTAATGGCTCTGATTCTGCTTCTTGTTTGTTAATTCATTTTTTTTTTAGATTCCACATATGAATGGAATCATACAGTATTTGTCTTTCCCATCTGACTTATTTCACTTAGCATAATACCCTCTGGATCTAACCCATGTTGTCATAAATGGCATGATCTCATTATTTTTTATGGCTATGTAATATTCTATCATGTGTATATATATCACATCTTCCTTATCCATTTGATTAGCAATGGACACTTAGGTTGCTTCTATATCTTGGCTATTGTAAATAATGCTGCAGTAAACATAGGGGTGCATGTATTTTTTCAAATTAGTGTTTTCATTTTCTTTGGGTAAATACCCAGGAGTGGAATTATTGAATATATGATCTTTCTACTCTTAATTTTTTGAGGAACCTCCATACTGTTTTCCACAGCAGCTGTACCAATTTACATTCCCACCAACAGTGCACAATAGATGCAGAAAAAGCATTTGACAGAATTCAACATCCATTCATGACAAACCTCTCAACAAAATGAGTTTAGAGGGAACATACCTCAATATAATAATAAAGCCCAAATACAAAAAACCTACAGCTAACATGATACTCAATGGCAAAAAACTGAGAGCTTTTCATCTAAGATCAGGAACAAGGCATAGATGCTCACTCTTGCCACTTTTGTTCAACAAAGTACTGGAAGTACTAGCCACAGCAATCAAATTATATTCCCACCAACAGTGCACAACGGTTCCTTTTGTCTACAGCCTTTCCAATGCTTGTCTCTTTTCTTTTTGATAATAGCCAACAGTCATGAGGTGATAACTCATTGTGGTTTTGATTTGCATTTTCCCAATGATTAGAGATGTTGAATATCTTTTCATGTACCTGTTGGCCATTTGTATGTTCTCTTTGGAAAAATGTCTATTCAAGTCTTTTGTCCATTTTTTTTAAAGGTTTTATTTATTTATTTCAGAGAAGGAGAGCATGAGACAGACAGAGATCACGAGCAGGGGGGAGGAGTAGAGGGAGAAGCAGACTCCCCCCTGAGCAGGAAGTCCTATGTGGGACTCGATCCCAGGGCCCTGGGATCATGACCTGAGCTGAAGGAGAGACACTTAACTGCCTGAGCCACCCAGGTGCCCTTTTTTCCATTTGTTAATTGGATTTTTTGTTGTTGTTATTGAGTTATATGGATTTCTTACATATTTCGGATATTAACCACTTATCAGATAGATGGTTTGCAAATATTTTCTCCCATTCTGTAGGTTGCCTTTTCATTTTGCTGATAGTTTTTTCTTTTTCTTTTTTTCTTTTGACTATGCAGAAGCTTTGGGGTTTGATGTACTCTCACTTGTTTCTTTTTGCTTTTGTTACTTGTGCTTTTCGTGTCATACCCAAAAAATCATTGTCAAAACTAATGTCAAGGGGCTTTCCCCCCGTTTTCTTCTAGTAGTTTTACAGTTTCAGGTCTTACATTTAAATCTTTATTTTTTATTTATTTATTTATTT